CCGGAAGTGCAGGGAGCCGGTAGGTGAGTATACAGAGCACATGTGCTGGGCAGCCTGACCGGGTGCTCCCGGTATGCCTCTAATGCAGAGGCATACCAGGAGCACCATTAACCCCGCGATCGCCGCGATAGCGGCGATCCGGGGTTAATTTTACCGCGTGACGTACGAGGTCCGTCACCCGTCGTTAAGGGTCACCCGTCCTGAAGGGGTTAAATCCTACTTTTAACTCTATGGAGCTAATCATAGACAGTGCTAAATAAGTATCTGCTGACCATAGCTATACAGCACATTACATCCAATATCAGGGAACAAGTTAAAGAGCCTTTTTGGGAAATATCACAGACCGTTAGAAATTGTCATTCCTCCAATGTTCAATCATGTCTCCATATCCTGCGCCTAATTTCTGTTGGTAAGATTATTTACGGTAATTGTTATTTTATTTCCGTAATATGCATTCATTAATCTATACACTGCACATTCTGCTATCAGTCTCTGGTAAGATTATAACCTGCTTTTCTTTCTGGAACAAACATTAAATAGACTTACATTTTTATTTGTCATTGTTTAAAAGTGCCTTTTGGTTCTTCAGACACATTGGATTATTTTAGTGATAGTCAAGTTATCAGCTAGAGTAGTTATCTAAAACAATTTTTAAAGATATAGCTTGAAAGCGACATTTGTTCTTCTAAATACTGTATAGTCACGATAAGTAATGAAGGACCGGGGTAACAGATGTTGTCGGTACATCAATCATACCTTAGAAAGCAAAAGTGACCAATATATAAATATTGAAGGGTCAACCAATAGCATGTACCTCCTGGGGTGTGCATATCATGGGCTGAGAACCAGGCTGATATTCAATATTGTGTGTGCCCTTTAGCCTGGCCTAAAGTGTTCTTGCCAATGCAGGCTTAGAGAGTCCATGGCACACTCACCAGGGCAGAATTTTCACTCACAAATGGCTAATGGAAATCGGAGCCCTGGATAGGAGGCTATATATTTAGTGTATAGGAGTTATTTTATGGCTTTAACCAGAGCACGCAGAGAACTTATTTAGATCAAAATTGTGATATTATACTTGATGGATCAGTCTGAGCGCCATAAGCACATTACAGTTTTGCACATTGAGTCCACTGTTAATGAAAGGGTTATAGCCATAGCGGTTTGTAAAATTGGAAAAAGAACTTGGCTTTGTATCTAAAGGACTTTATTAATAATTTAAAACTCCCAGATATTTCCAGTAAAGGAATACAGATATATACATGTTTATTTCACCCAAAACAAGGTCAGACATTATTTATCTGCATAACATATACACATCAGAATGCTCTCACATGTACAGTAAACTATGGAAACATTTACAGATCCTTCAAATTATATATATATTTTACTTTAAAACAACGGTATTCCTTTGAAAAAGTTTTAGATTGGTCTACTATTATTTTATAATTACTTTACTACTTAGGACCATGCAGCTCCCACAGACCTCAAATCTTGTTTATCATGGTAATTCTATTTCATTTGTTTTATAATAAAGGACAATTCTATTTTGTTTATTTACTATCACCAGCTCTTACCGTGCTAACAATCAATGAGTGACATTCGTCAGAAGAGCATCTTAATGGACCTTTATTGATGATACTCAAGTTGAGCATTAGTCATTCACAGTGATATAAACATAGAATAATAGTTACTATTGCATTATTTACTCATGACTAAAACATTTCTACACAAAACACTGGCACTAGGGGTCAAAACCACACAAGACGAGCAACAAAAAGGGTAAAAACCACTCATAGCATGTACAGCTTCTGAAACTGAAATAAAATAATTTTACTAAAAAAGATATATGGATCTGAACGGTCGCACCATCACAGAGCTCCGAGCAATCAACACATAATCTATGCCAATCTGAGACCCTAAGGAGCCATCGGAAGACTCAAATACCCACCTAAGCACCCCCTGAGACCCGACAGAGAATTGGGGCCTACCTTGCGTTCCAAACCTCGAGGTTCGTGTCGGAGATTACGGCACAGGGTACACGCAACGACACCCACCTACCGACCGACCTCACAGAACCGGACAGGCACACTATGGGCCGAAGGTCCCAAAGGCCGCCACAGACCACCAGCAGAGACATGCAAGACATAGGTGATCTGCTACAGCGGTCGATGGCACCCAAGATGGTGACCCCGCCGGAACGCACAATAGGCCCTCGAGAGGAAAGTGAGCAGACTGGGGCTGTACCAGAGCCATCTACCGCTCTACCAACCAAAGGGGCTCCGGCACATCGAGACACACTCCTACCACCCGCACAAGCTAAAATGTTTGTATTAGACGGTTGTTTTCGGATCCGAAAAGCCAGACAAGCACCGACTGATGCCCCTCAAGATGTCATCATTAGGTGCCATACCGTGACAGACAAAATCAGGCTCCTCGCGGCAGTCAGGGGAAAGACCTCGCTCACATTTGAAGCATCCCAAGTTACCTTTTACAAGGACTTAACTCGTAACATGTTAATGTGGCCCAGGTGCTTGGCCCAGGCCACAAGCCAGCTGTGTGAAGCAAAGATAGACTATAAATGGACTCTACCAAGGTCCCTGACAGTGACCAAGGAGGGTGCCACACTCAGTCTCTCCTCGCTACAAGAAGCCGAACGTTTCCTGCGGGCATTGGGGATCCCAACCCGAGCCGAACCACGGGAGACCCCACGACTTCGCATACTTGGGACCCAGAGAGAACAACTCCCTTCACTCCCAGAAATACGAAGAGGCGTGGAGCTCTGACCTGAACTGTCTCACAGAAGCAAGCATTATATGACTTACTTTTTATGTTACCCTCTATTTTACTCTCCTTTCTTATGTTTACTTATGTTTCCTTTGCAAGTTCCGACTCAAAGCTGAGCCAAATGTTAACCAAAGTCCAAAAAGTTCCTCCACTAGACACGGTACACCTGGGCATAGAGACCATACCCTCAGTGGCTACCACATTATCACTGGGAACCCTGACCTTCCACAGGAGCTAAGCACTCCCCCCCCCGAGACTCCAGGGTAAGGGGTCAACACACAACCTACCTGACACACACACCCGACAGTGCCCAAGGGGTGATAAACGCCCATCTGCAAGTCAGTAAGGACCTGTGAACACTCAACAGCCTTCACTAGAACACTAAAAGACAAAACCCCAACTAAACTAAGATAATCCCAAGAATAGTTGGCATCACTACAGGCTACATAAGGTGGCACACACACCTAACCCACAAATGACAACCCACCAACAAAAATGATACCTACCAACTCACTACATCACTAGGCATTCATGGTCCCGGTTTAATTTCTAACTATCGCGCATTACTTAGGACCGTCTGTGACACCAAGTCAACCACGCTAGACAGGCATACAAAGACTAGCAAGACATAAGCGATTTAAGTTGGGTATTAGGAATGTATCCTCAGTTCAACTTCTGTTAATATTTTCCTAAAAACCGTGGTGAATTCGCAGATAGCATAGGATGTACCTACTTGACGTATATATGTATACCTATACACAATTCCAGGGTGGCTGTTGTGGCCACACAGGCTGTATTGTACCCTACCACGCACGGAAAAATAAAGAATTTAAAAAATATATATCTGGAGTTATGGGTCAGAGTTACTCTACATTATTATAGCTGATTGGATCCATCTTCCTCCATCCTAGAACAGCTAATGTAAGCTTTTCCATCAGGTAACCCTAATAACCAACAATCCGCCTCCAAAAACCTTCCTTTGTATCAATAAATGTATAACCAACTCCAGATACATTAAATGGATCCGATTTATAAACAGAATTCACTGATCTCTAGTATTTCCAGTGAACCAATGATTTGTGTCATTCTGTTTATACTGGGATATTTTGTTGTTACAATACAAATCACACAGGATTCAGGAAGAATCCACACTGAGCTGATATCAGATTGGAGGTTAGTGCTGCACATTGACATCTCATCCATGGTAAAAGATATAAGAAACACAGACAGCACCAAACACACTTTACAGAACTGATGGGACTTTACAAGTGATCTGAGAGGAGGAGAACTTGTTTTAGGATTACATCATACAAGGTGCTATATACTACCCTTATATGTAATTATCAGGAAAGGACGCAATGGGAAACCCTCTTAATCCCACCTTATTCTACCCACCGTAATCAACAGGAATAAACTCAATCTATTATTGTAGCAAAGCAGTAAAAATAATTAAATAATTGTGACTATGTGAACCATGTTTGAAGCAGATTTCTGATATTAAACCAATTCCTATAAAAGCCATTAATATAGTGCACATTCTTCGTTGTTATAAAGAAAGGAAGGCGACAGCGATCTCGCAGGACGGGATCCATTATATCTGATACAGGAATTATCTGTAATGATCCCAATGTTTGTAGAGCTGAAAAAATAAAAATATAACACATTAATTCTATTAGCATTTATATAAAGTATATATTTCATGCCTTCAAGTTTTAATAATAATTGGCTGT